GGGACAGGTCTGTCGCTGTGTAACACTGGGGTACAGTACCGGTGGGGGACAGGTCTGTCGCTGTGTAACACTGGGGTATGGTACTCCCTTGCACATGTGTGTTCTTTTCTTTTATTCTCTGGCACCACCATGACAAGCAGCTCTGTTCTGCCTCCACTGCAGAATTGGCCCCTCCCCGGAAATCTGACAGGGAATATCTCAAATGTTGTAATGAAAGTAGTGATTTTATAGGTATACAACTGGTCAGTCCACGCCTACAGAACTTCCAGAAACTTGGATCTACACTGAAATTCTGACTGATGCTCCTTCTATCAGCTGTAGGCAATCTGCCTCGGTTCTCCTCTTCCTTCCATTTATCTCAGAATGTTGACATTTCTGCTGACATTTTAAAAAGTGTGCACCAGTCTCGTCTCCTTCTCCGTCTCCCTCCTTCCAATGACCTGCATCACTGGGTGAAAGGCTGAGTGCAGGAGGTAGGTTATAAACCCTGAACCAGTTTGACATTCACCATCCAACTGAGGAATTGGTTGTTGGCATTGTGGTTGCATGCCAGGTTGTGTTTTGTTGAAGGTGTATTGCATTCTGGTGACTGTCATGTGCAGGGCTCATGGCCTGTGTCAGACTGACATGTAATAATGTTAATCACAGCCCTCAGTCCATGTCAGCTTATTACCTCTCGTTGAGGAAGTGGTCTGATCTGAGCAGACAAAGCAAGAACTGCAGATGCTGGAGTCAGAGTCAACACAATCAATCAGAACTGATGAAGGGGCCCAAGCTGAAACTTCGACTTTCTTGCTCTTCTGATACTGCCTGATCTGCTGTGTTTCTCCAGCTCCACACTGTGTTGAATCTGATATGAGCAGCTTTCCTCGAGAAAGTCCACTCTCTCCCCCCACCCCTTCTCCTTGTGTCTGTAATATATTTGCTGTCTGGTATCTAAACGTGTGAAATTATCATGGACAATTGTCTCACATTGTTGCCCTATTTTTGTAATGTATGTTTACATTAATTGACTGTCCCAAATTGTTGGGAGAGTGGTCTGGGGGAGAGTTTTCTTGTTGAACTTAGGTGAGTTGAAAGATGATAGATTATTGGAGGGATTGTGTGGATGCTGGGGTGCGGGGGTGTGCGGGAATATAGAGTTGAGGTTAAAATCAGATCAACCACGAGTTTACTGAATGGGGAAGCAGGCTGGAAGGGCTGAGTGGCCTACTGTTATTCCTTGTTTGTTTGAGTCTAGATCATATTGACTTGCTGGGTCAGTACTGTGGGCAGAGAAGAGTAAGCCATGTGGAACTGGTGATGGTAGAGGAGGTGCAGGGCAGAGGAGTGGGTAGGTGAGGAGACGGAGACAAAAGGTGAGTTGTGCATGGGGAGGTGAATATCGAGGAGTTGGAGGAGGAGAGGCTGTATCTCTCAATGCAAAGTCTTTCTGACGTGATACTGATCTGTGTATTTTGCAGTGATTTGATTCTGACAGAAAGGGAAGGCGGGAGTCTAGCCTCGCTCGCAATGTCTTCTCGCACGGGACTGCGCATGCAGCTAATGCGGGAGCAGCTGCAGCAGGAGGAGCAGCGGGAGAGAGAGCAGCAGCAGCAGGCAGCCTTGCATTACATGCAGCAGCGCATGGCAGTTACTGCCACACCTGCCATCAACGTCAGCAACACTGCAACCTACCAGCCCAGGCCGCAAGTTCCTATGGAAGTTCTAAAGGTACTGCCGAACTCTCCGCACACCTCCCAGAGCTGTCTATCTCTTTGAAGCACTACCATCGAACGCCCAGTAGGGAGCTTGGCGGAGAGGGGGAGCAAGGGTCTGAGTGAATTGGACCTGGATGTTTCCTCACCAACTCTCTCCCATCCTACTCACTAATTCATTTCCTAGCAACCCCCATCCCTCCCCTTCCTCCTTCCCCTGCCCTTTACCCCTCCCTCTTCTCTCTTTCCTCTCTTCCTATCTTTTCCCTACAATCCCTTTCCCCCCAATCCCTTCAGTGTTTTGTCTCCTTTGCTGTGTGAGGTAATGGACCTGAAGGGGTTAATGTTGATGTTCCGTTGGCTCCACCCATTGTACTGATATCATACACACTCTGTGGGTAGAGACAGGAGTGTTCTCCTCTCACTGTCAGAGGGTGCAACTCCAACCCAGGCTAATTGTACCTATTGCTTTCACACAATAAACCTCTTGTTATCTAAGACCAGTGCTTTTTCTGTAGAAAGTCTACAGTGGTGTACCCTCTGCCACTAGATTGGCTCAGGACAAAAGAGGATTGATTGCAGTGAACTACCTTAAACAGCTCTTACTCGGTCCCAGACACTGGTAGAGATGGGAAATAAGACCTAGGAGCAGGCCATTCAGTTCCTGGAGCCTGCACTTGATACAATCATAGTTCATCTCATCTTGCTGTCAACTTCATTTTCCTGCCCACTCTCAATCACCCTTCAACTTGTTAGTAATTAAAAATCTGTCTATCTCCTTAAATTTACTTCATGTCCCAGCATCCACCGCATTCTGGGATAGTGAATTCCATAGATTCACGATCTCCTCATCTCGGTTTTAAATCTGCTACTCTTCATCCTAAAACTCTGGCCTCTCATTCTAGATTGCCCCTCATGAGGAAACATCATCTCTATGGTGACTTTGTCAATCCCCTTTAGCATCTTAGGGACCTCAATTTGATCTCCTCTCAGACTTCTAAACTCCAGAGAGTATTGGCCTGAACTGCTTAACCTCTATTCAATACCACAAGGTGCCAGGAGTGGCCGTATGGGAAAGGACTACATCCTTCTTCCTCCATGCCCAGTCCCTGTATTTCTCTACCCCTCTCACCTCACTGGTACGACTTTGACAATATCCAATTCTTCAGAAAGGGTCTAGGCCCGAAATGTCAGCTTTCCTGCTCCTCTGATGCTGCTTGGCCTGCTGTGTTCATCCAGCTCTACACCTTGTTATCTCAGATTCTCCAGCATCTGCAGTTCCTACTATCTCTGAAACAGCAGATGGTGGAATTTGAATTCAATAAATATCTGGAATTAATCATCTAATGGTGAATCCATTGTTGATTGTCGTAAAAACCCATCTGGTTCACTAATGTCCTTTAGGGAAGGAAACTGCCATCCTTACCTGGTCTGGCCTACATGTGACTCCAGACCCACAGCAATGGGGTTGATTCTTAACTGCCTTCTGGGCAATTAGGGATGGGCAATAAGTGGTGCCTAACCAGCGATGCCCTCATCTCATGAATGAATAAAGGAAGAAAAAGTGAGGTTGATGCCTGTTCAGAGGGTATTTCTGATTCTGGCACCGACTGAGTTGCTGTGTATATGAGCACATGCTGAAACAGGTACAAACTTTGTCAACGGCCTCTGCCAGAAACACTTCAAAATTATTTCCCATCCGTCGATTGTTCTAAATTATCAGCAGGTTGTTGCGTAGATAAACACACACTGTGTGCACAAAAAGGAATCCACAGTCAGTAATGTGGTGATGTGTGACCGTATCTTGGTATCACCCAAGGATAGCACCTGTGGATGACAGTGAAACAGTCGTGCCTGGGACAGAGGACTCTATCTGGCTTACAACTGTCAGAGAACTCCCTGGTTTCCCGAGTCCAGAGAAATTCTGAAATGAGCTGTAAATATTTAACACCTGATGGGGTTAAAAAAAAGAACGTGTGTTGGAGGTAATTTCTGAGCAAGTGTCATATTTTAGTGAACCACTGAGCTAAACTGTAATGTAGGGGACGGTGCGAAGGATTAGGCTGAGTGCAGAAGGGTTTAAGAACATAACAGCAAGGAGCAGGAGAGGCCAAGTCAGTCCTTTTACTATGAGGTGCTGGACCTTTCACCAGGTCAGGGAGGCAGGACAAGAAATCAGACTCAGGGGAAGCATAAAACATTCATTTATTTCTATGTTAAGGTGAATAGGAATTGGGTTTGGAATTGGGAACAGGAGCTGGGATTGGGAGAGAGGGATTGGAGCATTGGGTGCGGTGTAAGGGACAGAGACAGAGTAAGAGGAGAGTGAGAGCAGGAATTGTTGACTTCCTTTGTCGGAGAGAAAGCAGTTAATAAAGCAGATCACTTTGTTTGGCTTTGTTAACAGGGGCATGGAGTACAAGAGGAAGGGGGTGACATTGAACTTGTACAAGACACTGATTAGACCTCAGCTGGAGTTTTGTTCTGGGCACCACGTTAAAGGAGAGATGTAAATGCATTGGAGAGAGTGCAGATGTGATTTACAAGAACAGTTCCAGGAATGAGAAACTTAGGGATGGGCAGTAAGTGCTGCCTGGCCAGTGACACCCTCATCCCATGAATGAATAAAGAAAGAAAAAGCTACCTCTACACTGTTGCCATGAATCACTCCCAGGACAAGGACAGCACGGAGTTAGATCCAGAGTAAAGCTCCGAAACAGAGACAGCATGCTCCCTCTACAATGACTCCCCAATGGCTTCTCTACTACCAAAGGACAATCAGCCCCCTGTATCACATGAAGATTTAAATGCCAGATTTTTGAGCCCTTGGTATAAATATAGATGTGGATCTCTTACTGTCAGGCCAGGACCAGGAGCGCTCATTTGCTGCAATTGAGTTTATTGGATGCCAAGTCCTGAGTCAGATTGTTTGTTTCTGTGTAAAAGGTCAGTGTGGGATGGAGAGGCAGCTCGAGTTCCTGAAACAGGACAAAGCCAGATTTAACCCCTTCATCAGAGGGTGACATTCAATGATAAAATGGAGAACTTCTGTGACCACAGCAATGATTGGGAAAGGGATGGTTAAATGAGATGAAGGAAGTTTATGTTTGGAATATCCGACTGTGCAGTAATATGTTCTTCTAACAAATGAGTCTCCAGCACCATCATGCTGCACATTTCATTGTGACACATATGAAGAAGTTACTTTTCTATCTTCTCTCCCTCTTGTTTACAGTTTAGAATTCAGTTTATTCTCATGTGTTGTCCAGGTACAAAGAACAGGAGGGCAGTGAAAAGTGTACAATGTCACCAACACACAGTACCATCTTAGGTACTAAGTACCCAGGTACAATCTTGGCTACAAATTGTAGAGAAAATAAAAAAAAAGTTACACTACATTACAGATATAGATTGTGTAAATTTGGAGAATAAGAGATAAAGTGAAAAAGATAGACATTACAGTCTTTCTATAAGGGCTTCCAAGTGGTTTGACTGGTCTCCAGTGGTTCCCAACCAGTAGCCACCTTCGCACTAAGCTGTTGGCTATCCCCGCTCGGGGCCTGCTGACCACCCCATTTCACTCTTATCCTTTATCAGCTAGAACTGCATGTACTTGTGTCTGAAACTAGTGGGAATGAGATATCAACACAAAATTGAACAAAGCTCTCTTGGGGTCAGTCCTGAGGGGATGGACATTGTCTGAGGGTCAGTGCTGAGGGAACACCGTGCTGTTGGAGGGTCAGTGCTGAGGGAGCACCGCGCTGTCTGAGGGTCAGTACTGAGGGAGTGCCGCACTGTCGGAGGGTCAGTACTGAGGGAGACCCGTACTGTCGGAGGGTCAGTACTGAGGGAGACCCGTACTGTTGGAGGGTCAGTACTGAGGGAGCGCTGCACTGTCTGAGGGTCAGTGCTGAGGGAGTGCCGCACTGTTTTGCTGTTTCAGGATTATTACTGACAGACCTGCAGTTTGTGGGTTTGTAACGTACTGACAAATATCCTTCCTCCTGCAGGTCGAGACTCACTTGGAGAATCCCACAAAGTATCATATCCAGCAATCACAGAGGCAGCAGGTGAAGCAGTATCTCTCCACTACGTTAGGCAACAAGTTTGCTGCTCAACCCCTGTCGATGGGACACTCGCACCCTGTACAGCCTTCGGCTGTCTCCCCTGGTCTGAGAAATGATCGTGTGATGTCCAGCTCTACTGGAAACAGTGCTCCCAACAGCCCAATGGCCATGCTCAACATTGGCTCCAATCCAGGACGAGAGGTATTGACCAATTCGTGTCCAGGGGGTTTGCAAATTAACAAGAAAGCCAATAAAAAAAGAGGCTTGTCCATACTCCTCCCTGTCCTAGACATCATTTTACCTCTGTTAATGTGGTTTAGACCAGTGTCAATGGCTCTGGTATCTGGTGTATTATCATTGGGTTGGGGTTTTACTGCGGTCCACTCACTGCCTTGTTAACTGCCCTCTCTGTTCCTAGATAGATGATGTGATCGATGATATAATTAGTCTTGAATCCAGCTACAATGATGACATTCTGGGATTCACTGACCCCGCTCTTCAGGCACCAAACACTGTAAGTACCTCAAATATTATCAGTTCCCCTGATGGAGGACTGCGAAGTTGGACTTAGGAAGAATATATTTTTAATAAAGAACTTCCTTGTAGAAAAGAATGTTTAATTCTCTGCACCAGAAGATGTATTTCCAAACTAGGAATGCTGATTAGATTACTGGGAGGTGTACACCTTATTATTTAAGGTGTAAGACTGAGTGGAAATTAGTTTTTCCCATGCAGTTTCTCATTACAAATTCTGTTTCAACAACATACTGATCGACTGTCATACTTGTTAATGATCAAATCTTTGATTTCACTTGGAATTGAACTCTCATTGGCTCTGTTGTGAGTGATTGATCTATCCAATGATTTATTGTTCAGCTGGTGAAAGTTGCGGGATTGAAAATTGGTGACTGGGCCCCTCCACAGGTCACTTGGAAACTAATTGCTGTCTTTATCTGCCATTTTATATCTTTGGGGTTGGAATGATTCCTCATTGATTCTGTCTCTGGTTGTGCTTGGTTACAGTCTCATGAATATGCTATTTCAGGTGATCAGCAGTGAGAATCTCACACTGCAGTTTCAATCATTGATCTCTGCTGTTGTCTGAGGTAGGATTTTGGGAGAGGTGCCACCACTTCTGCTGAGCAGCCACTTGATGGTGTTGGCTGGAACTTTGGCTTTTTCAGGATGCAGAGCTGGGCTGAGAAGTGGCAGATGGAGTTTAACCCTGAAAAGTGTGAGGTGATTCATTTTGGAAGGACAAACTTGAAAGCAGAATACAGGGTTAACGGAAAGATTCTTGGCAGTGTGGACGAGCAGAGGGATCTTGGGGTTCATGTTCACAGTTCCCTGAAAGCTGCCACTCAGGTGGATAGAGTTGTTAAGAAGGCGTATGGTGTGTTAGCTTTCGTTAATAGAGGGATTGAGTTCAAGAGCTGTGAAGTTATGCTCCAGCTATACCAAACCCTGGTTCGGCCACATCTGGAGTATTGTGTCCAGTTCTGGTTGCCTCATTACAGGAAAGATGTGGAAGCATTGGAAAAGGTGCAGAGGAGATTTACCAGGATTTTGCCTGGAATGGAGGGAAGGGCTTATGAGGAAAGGTTGAGAGAGCTAGGGCTTTTCTCTTTAGAAGGACAAAGGATGAGAGGTGACTTGATAGAGGTGTACAAAATGATCAGAGGTATAGATAGAGTGGACAGCCAGAGACTTTTTCCTAGGGTGGAGGTAGCTATTATGAGGAGACATAGTTTTAAAGTGAGTGGAGGTAGATATAGGGAAGACATCAGAGGTAGGTTCTATATTCAGAGAGTGGTAGGGGTGTGGAATGCATTGCCAGAGAGTGTAGTGGAGTCGGCCTCATTAGGGGCATTTAAGCGGCTATTAGATAGGCATATGGGTGATAGTATAAAGTAGGAGTGGAGGTTAGGTAGACCTTAGGATTAGGGTAAAAGTTTGGCACAACATCGTGGGCTGAAGGGCCTGTACTGTGCTGTACTGTTCTATGTTCTACGTTTCTCAAGTCTGAAAGTGGGTAACTCACTGCCTCGGGGCTAGGGAGCCGGAGGTCCAGGACTGCACCATCAGGTCCAATACATGGCAGCATCTGGTGGGTCTGTGACTCTGACAAAGACCAACCTTGGATCACTGTCAGTCATCCTGAGGAATAGGGAGGCCTAGAAGGGCAGTGATAGTCCTCACAGCCACATCACAATAGAAAGAATAGGTTGCATTTTTATAATACACATCCTCGGGACATCCTTTACAGCCAGTGAAATACTTTTTAAATTTATGTATTGAATGTGGGTGTTACTGGCTGGGTCAACATTAATTGCCAATCCCTAGTTGCCCCTTGAGAAGGTGGTGGTGAGCTGCCTTCTTGAACCGCTGCATCCGTGCGTTGCAGGTAGACCCACAATGCTATTAGAGGGGGATTTCCAGGATTTTGACCCATTGTCACTGAAGGAAGGGTGATTTATTTCCAAGTCAGGATGGTGAGTGGTTTGTAGGGGAACTTGCAGGGGCTGGTGTTCCCATGTATCTGCTGCCCTTGTCCTTTGAGATGGAAGTGGCCGTGTGTTTGGAAGGTGCTGCCTGAGGATCTTTAGTGAATTTCTGCAGTGCATCTTTTCAACTAGTCACTGTTGTCATGGAGGAACCCTGGCGGTCAAATTGTACAGAGCAAGATCCCACAAACAGCATTATTATAACTGGTTAATTGGTGGATAAGTATTGAGCTAGATAAGAATCATAGAACCCCTACAGTGTGGAAGTAGGCCATTCAGCTCATCAAGTGCACACCACCCCTCTGAACAGCATCCCAACCAGACCCATCCCCCTACCCGATCCCTGTAACCCTGCATTTCCCATGACCAACCCACCTAGCCTGCATATTCCTGGACACTATGGGCAATTTAGCACCTAAGGACTTGGGTGGAGAAAGGTTGAGATTGCTATCATTCAATGAGTACCACCTCGTTTAAGACAAAGCTTCTTCTCTTTAAGACTCCTAATGGTTTACTTCTGTTATTGTGAAGCAACTGGGCCATGCACCCTGTTATAAAGAAGGTGGTAGCAAATTACCCCAACCTCAGGCTGATAATGGCTGGCATTGCAACACATATAACACTGGCCTTCTTCCACATCACACCTGGCTTCTTCCTCATCCTGCTGAGAGTGTGGGTGGGTCAGTTTAATGTCTCATCTTCAGACTGGCCCCTCTGACAGTACAGTAAGCCAAGATATGGGCCTCCAGTCTCTGAAACAAGACTCATAGGCATGGACTCTAGCGACAGTGACACCCACTGAACCAAGGTAAACTTGGTGGCTTAATGAGTGGGATTTCATCAACTGTGGGGCCATGGAGACTGGACAGATCTGGCCTGGCATTGCAGTCAGCTTAGGGTAGTTCACAAGTTGAAACAGGGTGTTTCATGGGACCCTGCAGTTTCATATGAGAAAGGGTCTGTTACCCACTGAAGGTAGGCATGTTGTTGCCCAGAGGGAGGGTTTGCGAGAATACCATCAGCCACATTGCTAACAGGGGTAGCAATTTCAGGGTAGTAACACCCCATTTCCACTGGGCAGAAAGCCTCACATTATCCCTCGATCAGAAAATCAGGACTGTCAGAGATTCATGGTTATGACTTGGGAATAACTGCAGCCGGAGCAACTATTTTAATTTGTCGCTCCCAGGATGGGCCTCCTTTGAGAAAGTGGCACCTGTTTAATCAGCCGTGTTGTCAGCATGAAACCAGAGAAGTTGTCCTAAAGAATGAGAGAGATCACCCACAGCACAGCTAAGGTCTATTCTTCCTGTCAGTATTAGACAGACCCGCAGTGTTGAAGCTGCCAGCTCGTACCAACCAACACTTGTTACATTTGTCTGACACTCTCGTCGCTGCCAAAATAAATTGATCAAAATTTATGAAAGAAGTTAGATGCAGTGATGAGATGGATGGGAAGATTGCCTTTCTTGTAGGCTCACTGTTAAATTTTCTATGAATTTTACTTTGGGAGGTTATTGCCAAGGGCTCAGGCCAGCTCGATAGGGGAAACCCACTGACTGAGTGTGTACTGGTTACTGGAGTACAGAGTCACTGTTTCCCACCTTTCACTCCCATCTCTCAGAGACTCGCTTACCGTGCACTGTGTGACTGATCATTCTCCCTGGTATTTGCAGCAATCGCTGCTGTGTGTTTGTGGGGTGAGACTGTCACTGACCAGGCTGGCATTTATTGTCTGTCCCCTGAAGACTTCTCCTACATTCAGATATACGCTGATGCCACCTGGTTGTACATAGCCTGCCTCAGCCAATCCACTACATCCATGGTGCCAGGCTCATTCGCCATAATTTCATGAAAGAACATAGTCGTACTGCTGGGAAGGCTGGTGTCATTTTTGGACCCACTACAACCTCTATAACATTCTCTCCTGCATAGAAATGTCTGAATTAGGAACAGGAGGAGATTATTCAGCCCATCAGCCCAGCTCTGCCATTCAATAAAATGGTAGTCTTAACTCCACATTCCAGCCATCCCCTCTCCCCTCAAACCCATCCTCCCCAATAACCTTTGGTGTTAACAGCACAGACCGGTCGCTTTCTCAACCGAAACCAATGATATCAATGAGCTGAAACAGATTGAAGGACAAACTGGATCAATGAATTGCACACAGTGCAGGGAAAGTGCTGAATAAGTTGTTACAGAAATCCTTGTTTCTGGTTTAGAATTGAATAGCAATTTATTGTCACGTAAATTTTTACAAAAACAATGGTGAAAAGTTTGATAAGTTGCCATACTACGGCCCCTAAATTGGTGACGGAAGTCATAAATAAGAAGAAAAAAAGAATAAAAATCCATCACAGTTCAGTTAATGACTCCTGGGTTCGGGGTACGCTGGAAAACCAGTTAGATCAGACTATGTTTGGAGATAGTAGGAACTGCCGATGCTGGAGAATCTGAGATAACAAGGTGCAGAGCTGGATGAACACAGCAGGCTAAGCAGCATCAGAGGAGCAGGAAAGCTGACGTTTCGGGCCTAGACCCTTCTTCAGAAAACCTATGCTTAGCGACTGACAGCAGACTTTGAGATCAAACTGCCACATCTGATGGCGCAATGTTTAGTAAAGTACGTGCAGGAGGGTGGGTCTGATATGGCTGGAAGTTGGGAACGAGCTGAGAATAGCCACGGGACAGCTGTACTATCATTCGCTGCATTTGGCTGTCCATCAGAAATTACTTACGAAAAAGTTCTCTGGCTGAGTGTGTTTATATTGAGGCCAATGCTCTGCTTCCCACTGTGTGGTTGTGAAATTCAGAAGGCCCTTATGGAACCTCTGGGGACTTTTAACGTCAAGACTTACCCTGTCTGAATGTCTACCCGCTACTGACCGACAACAGGGGCATGTGGCTGACCAGCGCCATGAACCCAGTGTGAATGTATTACACTTCCCATGTAGGAAGTGAAAAACATGAAGCCCAACATTTTACTTTCCAGATTTGTTGATTCATGGTA